GAGCAGAGTAGAGGGGCAGGATCCTCTCCTTCCCATGCAGGTCACGCTGCTGGTGATACAGCTCAGGACATGGTTGGTTTCTGGGCTGCAAGTATGCACTGAAGCCGGCTCATGTTCAGTTTCTCATCAACCAACACCCAGGTCCTTCTCCGGGGGATGCTTCAATCACTTCTCTGCCCAACCTGTAGCTTCAGAAAGGACTGGGTCAGTAAGCACTTTGGGATTCAGGTTATTTCACTGCCAGAGTTGTAGCACAGAAGTGAAGCATGTCTTCTGTTTCAGTGACTTTGAAAATAGGAGGTGAGACACTGTATTTTCCAAAGATGCTTTTTGGAGGCATATTTGATCACCTGCATTTCATTTGTTTGCTCCAGGGAGACCTTAGAGCAGCTTCTAGTGCTTAAAGGAGCTGACAAGAAGGCTGGAGAGGGGCTTTTGCCTTCTCTTCACCAGGCTGAACAAGCCCAGCTCTCTCAGCCTGTGTCCATAGCAGAGGAGCTCCAGCCCTTGGAGCATCTTCTTGGCCTCCTCTGGACTCACTCCAACAGCTCCACGTCCTTATGCTGGGGTTCCAGAGCTGGATGCAGGACTGTGGGGGAGGGGGGATATATCTCGCCAGGGCGGAACAGAGGGGGAGAATCCCCTCCCTCGACCTGCTGGTCACACTCCTGTGTCCCATAATGACACAAATGAAACAAAAGAATTTGTGGAACTTCAGTCTTTCTATTGTCTTGTGAATTTTAATCTTCTCAGGCTACCTGTGGGGTAGCTACATTGGGCTTTACTACTCAGGGGAAATGAAGGCCAGGCAGGTGAGCTGGTTCCCTCAAGGCTTCTCAGGTTGTTAATCCCAACTGTAAACATTCTTAGCCTTTCTGGCTCACAGACGTATGCTTAATAACAGATCATACACTTATACAGCTATAATCAGAACCACCTGGATGCTGAGGGTGTTTTGCCCAGAAAGCTGTTTCTTGCTGGATAATCTTCCATGGAAAGTGGTGGAAACACCCATTTCCAACATCTGTTGAAACTTGTGGGATAAAATACGAAGGAATCACAAAACAATCTTCCTTTGGCCCCCAGGAGGGGAGAGATGTGGATGGATGAAGCAGTTTCTAGTCTAGTGACCAAGACCGGTTTGTTTGTCATTCCTTGCGCAGTTTATACAACCCCGTTTTGATTTGTTTTCCTCTTTCTATCCCTCAGTGGTTCCTTCCGTTTACACCATTTACATGGGAAAAGATAAGTATGAAAGTAAGTACATTATTGTAATGATGCCAAATGGCTTCAGTTTATATTTGTGGGGATTTAAGGTCATTTTGAAAGGATGTCTTTGTATGTGTTAATTTGATATATTGCTTGAGAACTTGGAAGTGACTTACCCTACTGAAACCCACGGTGTTACTTTTAGTTAGGATAAATAAATGTTCTAAATCCTCTAGGCAGAGTAACTGCCTTCAAATAGAAGTGAAAACAAATTTAACTGGAAAAAAAATACCCACCTAGAGAAAAATACTGTCTCCTCAGGTTATTTGAGAACTTTTTGCAAACTGACCTTCCGTTTCCCTGCTCAGTCCGTGCTTTTCCCCTCTCCAGTGAGCATTTGTACTCCATAGGTTTCCCATGCCCTTCTTTCCCTTATGGGACAGGTTATGGTTCTGCTGTGCTGCTTATTTCCACCTCAGTAGTTGATATGAAGCTGGGTGTCTCACTCCAAGGGGAAGGTGTTAGTGTGGCTGTTTTGACAACTTGCCCTGAAATTCTCCCCCCTCCATGGGTGGAGATGTGAAAAAACATATTTTCCCTTTAAAAACTCCAAGGTTCTGAGGATGATGGAGGTGTTCCTGACATACCTGTTCTGGCCACACCTCTAGCAGGCAGGTGCAGGTTAAAGCCCTCTTCTCTCTTTGCTCTGTCATTGTGCAGTGGCTGACTGACAACGGAAGACTCCTTTTCTGCAGGTAGTTGGGTTTGTTGTTGATGATGACCTTGCACTTTGCTCACTGATACTTTTATTCCTGCAGATGAAGACCTAATAAAGTATGGCTGGCCTGAAGATATCTGGTAGGTACTAAAACTCACTGAAAAAAATTGCCTTTCATTATGCAACCAAGTGGAATAATCGTAACCACCCTCTGGCTTTCTCAGGCAGTGTGGAATGAATGGCCTTTTTCCCAAGGCCATTCAGCAGCTTAAATGCAGTCCCAGGGTGGAGGTGAATTGCAGCAGACCGAGGTGTAGCTGTTGGGACCCTGTGCATTCTGAATTCATTCCCCTTTATCTTCCCCTTATCCCCAGCTTTGTTCATTGGAAGAGCTGGTCCGTTTGTGAAGCTTTTTGAGGTTTATCTGTACATGGAGCTGCTGGAGAAGCAGCAACCTGAATAACTCCAAATACAGATATTTATGTTTCAGCATATAGGCGCTAGCTTGCTGTCACTCTTACTGCATTTGGGAAATGGTTAGAGCTAAATGAGAAAGTGTTTGTAAGAGAAAACACCTCCTGAGTCAAGCAAGAGTGGCTCCTGAGTATCTCTGTGCACAGACAAGTGAAACAGGTGAAAACAAAAAGGCCAGGGAGAGTGGAGGCACAAATCGGGGAGCCCTCAGATGGAGCCTGGGACAGGAGCGGGAAGGTTTTTGAGCAACAGTAAATGCTGCGCCTGCAGAAAACTGCATTGCCTCCCAGTGCCTTTATCTCTGTGAGTTCTTTGTGTCTCCGCTGTGTGCACTGCAGATAAGTGCTGGTCTGGGCTGTAAAACAGCCCATCTCAGGTTCTGGAGTTGTGAGCAAGAGTAGAGGATCTTGATATTTTGATTCCTGACGGGTGAAAAACATGTCTGCTCCTAAGCAGAGCCATGGCCAGGCGGGAAAAAGGAAGTAGTCTGACACGTGTGGCTTGGTTTTGGCTCCTAAGATGTCATCTGAGGAGAAATCCAAGAGAAGGGGACATCTGATCCTGTTAGCAGTAGTTGGTGGCATCTTTGCTGGCTGGATTAATCCGTGAAGTTACCAGAATGATCAGGTTTGTGAAGGCACTGTTGCACAGAGCAGATGTGCCTTGGTGGCTACCCTCTCATTTGCTAGCAGTATCCAACAAGAGTCACTGTGCGGGTTGTGCTCATCTTTATTTAGAGGGTGGCCTTTGCAGGGATGAGCTGAGGTGTCCTGCTAGAACTGAAGCTTGAATAGTTAGGATCTGACATACTCTGCGGAGGATGTTTGTCAGCAGCCAGCTAACTGGCAAAGGAATCTTTTCGAGCAGAAGAGATTCTGCTGAGTAACACTGTTGTAGCAGTATCACACTCATTTTCTGTCTCATGTTTGTCCTTTTACTACATAAGGTTTACCTAATCTGTGACTTAGGAGTAACCTTGAGATTCATTCTCCAATTGCCTGAGCCATGAAAGTCATCTTTCCCCATATCTGCCATATCTCATATCTCATCTGCCAGAGCTCACACCAATATCCATCTTAGTGTCCCCAGAGCCTTCTCTTCTTCAGGCTGAACAAGCTCAGCTCCCCCTTCATAGCAGAGGTGCTCCAGCCCTCGGAGCATCTTTGTGACCCCCAGGTCCACTTGCTTCTTACAGGATAGGCTCTGACTCCCTTGCCTGCTTTTAAACGTGTATATCATAAACATCTGTAGAGCTCCATTATCCATGAGGTGGTTGTTTTGTCACTAGTTCGGAAGTAAATCTTTCATAACAGATCACCTTTCATCACAGATCATGTGTTAAATATGCTTTTTTTTTTCTTTTTCTATTCTGCAGGTTTCATGTGGATAAACTCTCTTCTGCACATGTGTACCTTCGGTTACACAAGGTAATCCTGTGGCACATATATTTAAAAACGTTAATATTTACATGCATATAAACAGCACGTGCCCATTTTGCAGCGATTCTTTGCACAAGACCATCTTTGTTCACGTGAACCACTGAAGTCTGCAGGTGTCCCTAAGGGTGCAGGTAACAACACGTGTGGGGAGACTGAATTTGTAGCTTCTGTTACCAAATAATGTAGAGAGGAGCAGGAAGTTTCACGTGGCCCAACAAAACAGTTGATTTTTGGCTTGATGCCAAGCATGTGTTTAGGTGTGTCACCCCATTAAAACTGAGACAACACCTTTGAGAGAAGAGAGAAGCAGGGCACAAATCACTTGAGGTGCTTCAAGCCTCTCCTTTCAAACCATAGAAGCACCAAATCACAGAATGGTTTGGGTTGGAAGGGACCTTAAAGTTCATCCAGTTCCAACCCCCTGCCATGGGCAGGGACACTTTCCGCTAGAGCAGGTTGCTCCAAGCTGTGTCCGCCCAGCCTGCCCTTGAACACGGCCAGAGGTGGGCCAGCCACAGCTTCTCTGGGCAACCTGTGCCTCACCACCCTCACAGGGAACAGCTTCTTCCTGAGATCTCGTCTCAATCTCCCCTCTGTCAGGTTAAAGCCATTCCCCCTTGTCCTGTCCCTGGCAAAATCCCCTTTCCAGCTTTCTTTCTGGCCCCTTTAGGTATTGGAATGTCGCATAAACATGTCTTGTAAAACATGGAGTGCAGAGGTCCTGGCTTTGTTTGCAGAGCATCGTGCCCTGCTTCAAGCTTTCATGTGCTCATCAGTCCCTACAGCCCCTCGCTGCATGCTTCTCACATTGCCTTGCTCTGTCACAGGGGCAGACGGTGGATGACATTCCTAAAGAAGTTTTGATAGACTGTGCCCATCTCGTGAAGGCGAATAGCATCCAAGGTAACACTGATTC